AAAAACAATTTAGAAAAAAATTTTTTTTTTTTTTTTTAAAAGCCGAAGTTGGAACCACGTGCACTTTATTTCTTACATCGAATAGTATTTATGTGTAAAATTTCAGGTCGATCGGGAGTAGGGGACGTTCGGAAGTATATCCCAGAATAAAAATAACCACTTGGCAACTCTTTCCTTCGACTCGAGGTCATTGAGCAAAATCTCTCCTGTTGCGCTTTCCAGTATGTTCAATATAGTTCAATAAACTCGACACGTGGGATCCACGATCACAGGCCATACAACTCACGCGGCATAAACGGAAAATTATCAAAAAAATGAGTTCAAACGTGTTGAACAGAAAATTCTAGAATAAATTGAAATATAAATAAAGGTTTAGCTTTATTTAACTTACCGTTCACAAAATTTTTCCGACATCTGATTCGTGACAAGCAAATGGTTAGCTTTTTCATTTAATATCATATATGATACACGACAAAATTGTTTGCATACCATACTAATCTGTGATAAAGTATATACATCACAAAATTTAAAAATTACTATCAGTAGCTCGTTCGGCAAACTGTACAAAAAAGACATATTTGTCTTTCTAATTAAACGTTTCTACACCACAATAGGGACACTACAGTTATAACCATAGAGGTGGTAAAAATAGACTGCTCTAAAAATCCTTAAAGGAGAGGGCGGTATTCATAGTCCGTTCTTATATTCAAAATCGTCTTAGGGCGGTATTCATAGTACGTTCTTATATTCAAGATCGTCTTATAGCGTTTTCGAGTAAACGGGGTTTGAACGACCCAAGATTGGTTAATGACGTCATTGCAACCTCTCCACCAATGAAAGACTTGCATTTATAGTAAAATAGTGATTGATCAACCCTAGATCGTTCAAACCCCGTTTATTCGAAAACGCTATTAAATACGGACTTATATTTGCTCTCTTCGTCACACATAGATTGTGTCTGACGAAGAGAGCGAATATAAATTCGTGCTTAAGACGATCTTGAATATAAGAACGGACTATGAATACCGGCCAGAGATCGGCAGAACGTTAACAATTTCTGATTGGTTCCGTCGCCTGGTGTAAAACCGGAAGTGTGAGAAAAAAAGAACATACTAAGATAGAAAGAGACAGAAAGTGAGCGAGAGAGAAGGCACTATACCACACTATGCTATGGCCTATGGCTATACTTATACTCAGCTATACTGCATTACGACTGTTAACCTGCGTAACGTGATATCGTGAACGTATTGTAAGTTGTAAGTTTAACGCGAGGACTGTTAAGAAATACTTTGTGCAAAGTATAAGGTATGTTATATTCTTGATTCTAAAATATAAACATCTGCGTAACTCTTCCGATATGATGTTTGTAAGCAATCACGCACATGCCTTATTTTATGTTCATCCTGTTACGTTTAGATTTTTTATTCAAATGACAAGAATATTTAACAATTATTATCCTCATCTTCGATCAAAAACAAATGTTAATTTAAAACAATTTTTGTACACCGTTGTAAAGAAATCACTTTTTCTTTGCCTGCGTGCCACAATTTAAAAGAAAAGATTATAAAAAGGTACATTTCGTTTAAATTGAAAATTAATTCTAGAGCCTTACCTTCATC